CAGAACTTCGTCAGCTGCCCAGGCCAGGATAACGAGAACTGCGTGACGGGGAATTCTCTGCTTGCCACCGACGTCGGGAACCACAAGGGTGAGCAACCAAACTCATGCGCACCATGTCTGCCCGCTGACGTGCTTCCGATTCAGGACCGTACTTCGACGACATCGAGTTCGGCCACTCAGCTTGCCCTGACGGGGCTGAATAAGGGGTGCCTGACGATCTGGGGAGGGAATATTTTAATAATGCAGCAATAATAATTCGGTGACCCACTGGAATCCTTCCCGCCTGAGGAACGTGCACGAATTAGAAACCTCCCGCGCTGCAACGAAGTAAACCGAAAGATAAAATGACCCGCAATAGAACAAGATGGTTGTCGACATTTGAGTTCTCAGGCGTGTCTTGAAGCTGAGAAGGAAAGGGAAATTTATCTCTAGATATCCGACATGTCGTGTACGTATGTAGCGTAAATGTATATTAAGAGTGGATGCGTGAAAATCAAGTCAGATACTTGCATACCGAATTTACGTCGGTTTGACATTAACGTCCGAGAGAGTCTTGAACGCCTCCTTGTAAGCATCGAGCAGCGCCTTAACCCGTGTCCGCTCGGACACCAGCCCCTCGTCCTCGTGGAGCATCTCCTGGAACAGTTCGGGTTTGTAGAGAGAGGCGACGAGCCGGTTTTGCACGTGGTACGACGTGTGGTTGACGAGGAAGTGCATAATCGCTTTCGGGACGAGGTCCTGGATGCTCTGACGGACAATGCCAAAGTACGACGCGATGAGCGAGCGGATGAGCGACGTTTCCATCTCTTCTCGAAGCGTGAGGTTGTTCCCATCCGCCGGAATCTGCAAAATCACACAATCATAAACCCAGCGCTGACAAGTATGAAGGGAACTCGCTCACAGCTTCGATATGTTTGCCCAGACTCTTCATATCGTACGCAGCGTTGCTCCCAGCTCGCTGGACTGCCAATCCAGATGCAATCGCCATCGCATTGGAGCCCTCGGCCGCAGAGACATCGCGCCCCATAGGCACGACGCCGCTGCTCCCGCCCCCACCACTCGACCGCGTGTGGTGCCCGACTTGCTCCATCACGTTCGCACTTGACCCCGCAATCGGCCCCGGCCCATTCTGCCCAAAGAAGTAATTCAAGAAAGTCTCCCTGGCCGACGGTGGCGACCCGCGGTGCGTCTGCGCCATAGCAGAATGCGGTCGCTGCTGGTGCGGGATCTTTCTTGCTGCGGGCACGGCCAATGCCGGCGTCGATCCGATCGACGTGCGCGCGCGGTCATGTATTGTGGCGGACACCGAGCGATCGTTGCCACGGGTGGGGAAGATGCCATTGGGGAGGCCATTTTCATCGGACGAGTCTGGGTCCTCGTCGGTCCCAGTGCCGTTGGTAGGCTCGGTCGATGCAGGCTGGAAGAAATAAAGCGTCAGATGAAAAAAAAAGGGAGTTGGTGAGAGGTATTTACTCGCAGAGGCACCTGCCGAGTCGGAGGGGAGCTGGCCTGCTGTGCGGCGGCGGCAGACCCGGAGATGAAGGCGGGGTGGTTGGTGTTGATGTACGCGGCCTGTATCGCGATCAAGCTCTGCGCGTAATCGGAAGTGGGACCCAGCCGCTCCCGCAACAGCTCGGAAACGACTTCAATGAGCTTCGCATGCAAACCAGGGAACCGTTGCAGCTCCTGATATACCTTCATCAGCCACTTGACAGCCTCAGCGCTAAGCAAATACGCACCGTGCTCGTGCAGTTATGGCAGATCTTGACAAGTTCCTCGTACACGAGTTCCACACAGCGCAAACTCGGCGCCTCCAGCAGCTTAATCTGGGGCTTTACCAGGAGGTCGAACGCAATTTCAGGGACGAAGAGACTAGGACGCGGCCCCGTGGAGTTGCGGATTGCAGTTCGGATGTCCTGGTTGTCGAGGTTGGCCGTAGAGTCGATAGAGTCGAGTGCCTGGCCGAATACATCGTGGAAAATATAATATATCCTGGCGCCGCCCGAGAGCTCCTTTGTGGAGATGTCGACCTTTGTTCCCTCGATCGAGGCAACGAAGTCGCGCGCAAACTGAGTCATTAGCCGCAGGATGAGAGCTCCTTGCTGCAAGAACCATAAGTTTACGGTGGGGGAAATTCGAGGTCACGGACCTGATTTTGGTCTCCAAAGCTGTCAGAATCACCGAATGAATTCAGCTCCTGCTGAGCTTGGCCCATCAGAGTGTTCAGCCGCGCCTTCATATCCGGAAGCTTGTCCCGAATGTGGTTCATGAGGACCTGCACAAGACTGAATATGTGGCGCTATGACACGACGACGAATCGCACCTGGTTCAGAGTCTTAGCCAAGTATTTTGTCCCGTTCTTGTGGGCTATATTTCGATATGCGGGGTGATTTTTGAAAAACTCCGTTTCGCTGTTCAACGCGGCGTCCATGCTTTTCTCGCCGTTGATATCTTGCTGGCTACGATTTACGACACCGATAAAGCCAAGCTTGAGCGGGTAAACGCGACCAGTCAAGATGTCCAGGGCATTAGTCCCAGCGTCCATCAAGTCCAGCTTGGTTAACACGCCAATTGTCCTCCGCCCTTGGGGGTCGACTTGGCGGGCTAGCTTGAGAGACTCGGAATTGGCCAGGTCAACATTGGCCGGTGATACAGAAAGGATCACGCTGTGGAACAACGCGTAAACAATTTGCTCCCGGGCGCAGAGCGGGCGCGCACCTATTTGGTTTGGTAATATAATCCAGCACCAGGTTGCGGATTTGCCGCTCAATATCACTTGGTTGATCTCCCACAGGAATCTTTTAACGCGATTGTCAGTATTCTGAATAGGATGTTTACGCGTAGACGCACTTTGGTCAAGCCCGGTAAATCGACGAGCGTCAAGTCCAGAACGTCTGGGCTGTAAATTCGGAGCGATATAGGCAGCTTGCTCACGCCCTTGTTCTGCCCTGCCACCCGGAAAGTCTCCTGCTCGATCTCCTTGCGAATGTCCTGAAAGTCGGTGAACTTCTTGTCGATGTGGAGAAACTGCGCCCATTCGCGAAATATTGGGCTGCTTGGAGACGGGTCGTTGGATTCGGGTGTGTGTATCAACTGGAGGACGAGTGGCCGGCGCGTAACGATGCCTTGCCCACGGGGAAGAAAGTCCCGACCAACGATGCTATACTTTTATGAGCCAATTGACGCTCGAGGTCCTAGCGACTTACGTCTCGAGAACACTGGACTTTCCTGCTGATTGACTGCCCACCTAGTAAAATGAGCGTTTTGAAACTTTCCAGCCAACTCGACTTACAACTACAAGTTGGGGCATGTCCAGCTCTCCCCCTGCATAAAAACGGTTGAATATTGTGCCACGGCATGCGAAGTGGCTGAACTGGCGCACCCAGATTATTGAAGGTATCCTGGAGCTTGTTCACGAGCTTTATGAGATCTGTGTCCATTTTGCTGCCCGTCCTTTGTGCACAAAAGGTTGTGGTAGAGGAGCAGGAGCTGCCGCGAAGAAACGCGTAAAGTGGTCGGTGGTTTTGAGTGCCGTGACGACGCGCTGCAACTCGGCGCTTCAAGTCGGGTTAGGGTTTCATTCAAATTTCAATTTTGCAATCCGTCGCCGAACGTCCACGCAATTCATTGTTTAATGGAAAACTACATTGAATCCTAGTCTCATGAACTAGACCTCTCACACATCGAGGCAATCGTTTCCAAGGGTAAAATAAACAGGTAAACATTTACATCGAGTTCAAGAACCGGAGAAGATCTTGTCGGTTCGCATCGCGCTCCTCATCTCCCTTTTCTTTCTTGACCTTGAGTTTAATCTTTGACAAAATATGAGCGCTCGTGTGACGCCGGATGCAGAGCAAGCCTTTACCTTCTTCCCAGTCAATACACTCCTTCTCTCCTCCTTGTCCTTGGATCGTTCTCGCTCCTTTCTCCGCTTTCGTCGCTTTCGATCCTCCTCATCGCTGTCGTCCTTGTCCCGACTCCTTCGTTTGTGGCTTTTGCGGTCACGGGTAGAGCCCTCATCATCGTCTTCCCCATCCCGATTCTTTCTCTTGCTGCTCTTCCGGTCGCGCGTCGACGAGGAGGCGTCATGGTCCTTTCCGCGAGAATAATGGTCGTCCCTGTCCTGTTCGTCACGATTTGTATGGCAGCACCTTCCGACGTCAAAACCGGTTATGTGCTTTATGAGTTTGGACAGACGTACCACAGAGTCGGCGCGGTGGCGGTCGCGTCCTCGAGTCGGACTGGGGCTCAGTGTACGATGGGGACGGTGCTGCGCACGTCGATATAGCGCAATCCTGAACATTAAATACAATGCACTGACGGATTCATGGTCGTCTCTCTCCCTCCGCGGGCTAGGGCTCCGCCGCCGTTTACTCTACCACAACAAACCATTTCAGTCGGGCCATCAGAAAGACTCAAGTTCACGCACTGAATATTTTCCCTCGGTTCTCGAGCGAGAGCCAGATTCCACACTCAAATCTCTTCGAGCGGGTCGAACCTAGAGTAAAAGTGTAAACCCAGAAACAGCGGTATCAAACGGCGAGACTAACGTCCGCCCGTTCCGACGACCGGTCTCGGTCATTCCTGTGGTGGCGAGAACTGTGGGATCCAGAGTCGGCATGTCGGAAAGATCGGTCGTGGTGGTCGTCGCGGTAATGTGAGTTACGGTCCGTAGGGTATCTCTCCGAGTCAGGAGCTGTTGGAGACCGCTCTGTTATGCGTCATTAAAGCCATGGTGTACACCGAGGTGGGTGTAGGCGGAGAATGGGATGTCAGAAAAAGACAGAGGTGAGTCCCATTGGTTTGAATATTCGTGTTCGGTGTATCTCACCAGTTCGAGACTTGGATGCCTGGTTTCCGTCGGAAGTCTGGTCCCATCTCGTAGTGTATCCCATTGCAGCTGGTGGCGAAGGCGAAGGTTGACTGGAGGAAGCGTGAAACCACGGTCCACGGCACTCCGCTATAACTGCCATGAGACCTTAAGTTTGCCGCATAACATGTCTCGACTAGTATATCGGTTTAGTACACGCGCCTGTCATGTGCAATGTGTGGTCGCGCGAAAGCTGGGTTCGACTCCCAGGTCGAGAGTTTCTTTTTGTGTTTCTTCGGCCTCGTTTTACTTTCTCATGCGGTCAACTGTAACCACATATTCTTGATCGCAGTCAAGTGCGTAGGCTTTCCGGAAGAAACATGAACGTCTACCGCCGACTGGCGTTGAAATAGGCATAGCTTAGTAGAATAGGAACCAGGAGTATTTTATTGAAAGCCCCTACCAGAGTAAGGAGCAGTCCGGCAAAGCAGTCGTGATCGGATCCAGAAATTTAAGCTTGCTTTCGACTTACATGTTCTTGAATGGACGACCCATGGGCCAACGCTTGGGGCGAGCCCGCAACAGCGAACAAGCTGCCCCCGGCACCCGCCTTTCCTCCTGCCCGCACCGGGGACGATGAGGAAGACATTACAATTCCCTCTTGGGAGTCTCCGTCCTGGTCAGACGATAATGCCAACTCTCTCTGGGGTGCTCGGTCGCCTGCACTCGACAAGTTTCCCTCGTGGCATTCTCCGTATGACGATCTTCCGTTGGGAAAGTCATCCACCTCGCTTCCGGAGGCGGCGGAGGTGCCAGAGGCTCCTTCCGATGAAGAGGAAGACCAGGAAGAGGCGCCTGAGCCGGAACCGGAAACTGTGTTTGAACGCGAACCTTCACCCGAACCTGCGTTTCAATCTGCGCCGCAATCTCCAGTTGAAGAAATCCCATTCCAGCCCTCGGTTGCATCGCCAGTACTTTCGCCAGTACTTCCCCCGAATTCGCCACCCGGAAGTCCTGATGCGTTCGGCACCTTTGAGACCGGACTACACGACCTATCATCGGCTTCGGACCTATGGGCGCCTCCCCATTCCGCCTCTGTCCCTGAGGCGGCAGACTCTGCATGGGAGTCTGCCTGGGGGTCTTCCGAGGTCAAAGAACACGCGGACGAAGCTCCAGATGTCGTAGATGAATGGGAGGCCGCAAAACAGCAGAAGGCTCTGCAGGACAAACACGTCGTACGCCTCGGTTTATCCATTTTGCCACCAGGCCCATCTCATTTTCCGTGAAGCCACCAGAGCTGCTTGCGTCCATACTGTTGCAATTTACTGAACTCGCAAATGATCTCTACCCGCCCCAACCGACGCCAAATCTGGACCCAGACGATTACCGAGCTAGCCGCCATAAGGGCCTGCAAGGAATCGATACGTTGTGCGTGTAAATAATTTTTCAAGAAGCTAAACCAACCCTTTTGTAGGAACTCCAATGTTATCCGCCTTCTCCCTACAGATCTCACCCTTCCTCCGCCGCGTCCCTTCCAAAAATCCATTACTGCCAAGCACACCACAGATGCCCTGCGCCTGTCACGCAGTGCCGCATTTGTGCGCTTCAGCCCGCTCGGTCATTACAGTGCGACCAAAGGCTCAACAGCATGGGAGGCGTCCGTCAAAAGCCGCCCCGAGGTTGTGGCCGAACCGGATTTATTGCCACCAGGGTGGCGCATCGTCGAGAAGAAGGAGACCCCGGTGACGGACAAAAAAAAAGGCCACGGCGGGCTGCTTTCGTTTTTCGGTCGTCGCTCGGGGACGCCCCCCGTTATACCGGGCGGGGATGGCGCAACACCGCGCCCTTCATCGCCGGCGTCCTCTTCTCCGCGCGCCAGCCTCGATAGCACCGTCAAGTCCCCGACTTCAACGACTTCTTCTACGAAGTCACCGACTACTACTTCCGCCGCTACCTCCGCTGCCTCCGCCACCCCCTCTGCCGCGGTAAGTCCTACTGCTGCGACCCCGCCTCCACCAACCCCTGTGGCTTCCGTGGTTTCGCAAACGAACGTAGATGCCGCAGCGCCCGATCCGATCACCCCCGTCTCTGCGCCGTCCGCCGTCTCGCGCTTCCTCGGTCGCTTCGGGCGCAAAGCCCCGGCCGCAGGCGGACGGCAGAGTCTCGCGCTGTCCGAGGGCGACTTTGACTTCCTCTCCGATATTGACGGCGCTGCCGATGCGGGACCCAGTTCTGGCTATAGCTCGGATTTCGCTATCAGCGGCTTATTGCTCGATGACCCGGTTCCTCTGCCCGCGAAACTTGCGCCGCCACCCCCGACGCCCCGTGTGCCCGTGGTACCAAATATCGCACCTCAAACTAACGGGCAAAAAGGCCCGGCTTCTGGTGATCGTGATAAAGATGAGCTGGCGATTTTCGGGACATTTACGCCGCCTCCGGCTGTAAGGTCTTCTTTTACCCCTCCACCTGCGAAACCCTTTGCTCCCCCACTTGCGCCGAGCATCTCTGCACCAACACCAACACCAGCGCCTTCCACCATGTCGCCTGTCGATTCGGATGTCGATTTTTCGGCCTGGGGTTTGGACGAGGAGGAGAAGAGCGGCGGAACAGTGAGGAGAGAATCGGACCCTGTGGTGGGGAGTGCCCGAGCGCAGCCAACGAGGCAGGCGTTGAATACGAGAGCCCCGACGAACACTCGGGGTACTCTGCCTCCGCCACGACGGGTGACCGCGATCATGTCTTCTGGGCCGTCCAAGCCTCCAGCAGCTATACCCACCCTGAACGCGACATCGTTGAGTTTCCCGCCGCCACCACGGACCCAAACACAAACTATCGCCCCGATTTTACCTCCGCCGCCTGGTACCAAAGCCCCGGCCAAAGCAGCGGCTTTGTTGGACGACGACGACGACGACTTCTCCGACTTCCATACCCCCGCAGCAGCACAGATCGGCCCCGCCGCGTCTGCCAACTCCTTTTACGACAAGAGCTTCTCGTCCTCCACCTCGTCTGACCGGGGGCTCTTTTCATCCACATCCTCCAGGTCGATTCCTGCGAACCTCTTTGACGACTTTGACGACTTCATGCAGGCGTCGCCGAACGAGCCAGCCACGCTCCGCACGCCCTCCCCACCGCGCCCGCCCGCCAAGTCTCCGCGGATTCTGCCCCCCGCGCCGCCGTCCTTCGCTGGAACTCCCCCAACGCTATCACCGACGCAGGATAACGACGACACCCCACTCGCGCTCACGCGGTCGACACTCCAGCAGAAGCAGAAGCGCGCGGTGAACGACCAGCGCACACTCAGCCTCGTCGAGAGCGCCGCCGCGAGTTCTGGCGTCCGCTGGCCCGCGCCCGAGTCCCCGCTCCCAGAGGCGCTCGCGCCGCCGCCCGATGCGTCAGATCCGTTCGGGTTCAATACTGGGTCGACGATGCAGTCACAACAGGCGGCGTTCCTGCAGCGCGAACCATTCACAGCGTCGCTTTCCCCGCCGCGCGCAACTGGGATGGCACCACCGCCCATTCGCGCGTTGTCGCCGCCTGTGCTGTCTCTGCCCCCGAAAAAGGCGCCCTCACCAATGGCCTTTCCGCCTCCTCCAGGTGCGGCCCCGAAGCGTGCGTTCTCGCCGCCGGCGCAGCCCGTGCTGTCGCCGCTGCCGCAGAAGGTTGTGCCCACAGCAGCGCCGATGGCGCGCTTCCCGCCTCCTCCTGGCGCGACCATGCGTACATTTTCGCCGCCTGCACCGTCTCCGCCTTTGCAGAAGGTGCCTGCCCCCGCACCAGCGCCAATGGCCCGCTTCCCGCCTCCACCAGGCGCGACCATGCGTACGTTTTCGCCGCCTGCGCCGTCTCCCCCTTTGCAGAAGGTGCCCGCGCCAATGGCGCGCTTCCCGCCTCCTCCTGGCGCGACTCTGCGTGCGTTTTCGCCGTCTGTGCCATCGCAGACACCCATGCTGTCGCCCCCGCCGCAAAATGGTAGTGTGCCGCCCATGCTGACGGCCCAGCGGCAGTCGCCCGCGGCACCGACGCCGCCCCCGATGGTCTCAACTGCATCGGGGAAGTCATCGGGTGGTTTATCTGCACAGGACCTTTCGTTCTTCGAGGGATTGTAATAACTTTAGTATTTACCATCCGTACCATCGTTATTTAATGTAACTCTGACATCATGATATCGATTCCTTACCCCGCATTCTTGCAATTCGGGGGCATTTCGAAATTCACACAGATTTAGAAATGAGGTTTTTTCTGGTGGTATGGTTTCATTCTTGTTCGAGACGGGAAAACCTGCCCAAGAGTAACTCAAACGAAGAGAACTTTCATTCACATCAAACGTATCCTACATCTTTCAGAGTATGGTCACAACAGCCTTGGATCCCACCGGCTTCAAGCCTCCTACGAATGCAACGCCGGCTTTCTTGCATCTAGTCAGTGGACCTTCCACAACCACCGCCCACTCGTCGATTTCGCTAGTCAGCCATAAAAGCGAATATGTAGCTTCCGAAGAGAAAAACGGTATCCATGCTAGGAACGCCACCTTTTCCGCGATGACGATCCGGCGATACCACCCCGAAAAGGTCGACCGAAGTACGCTGCTAATGGCATTGCCATAGCGGGTTCCGGAAACCGCCTGAATATCCTTGATATCGTTCAATGGGATGGTCTTGAGGTCTATCCGAGAGCGGAGAATGACTGATCTGAGCAGTGTGATGATAGAGGATATATCGTGATTTGATGATAGGGAGTCGAGCCGCTCGATGAGGCCGTAGAGCTCTCCACTCCCATCGCCGTATGTCGCTCCCAGGTCCGTAATTTCGCTAGAACCTGCAACCGTCAACCGAAGAGAAGTTTCATTGACAATAGTAGCTGTGAAGGCATTGGAACATATCTAACAGATTAGAACCCGAACCGTACCTGAGATCAATGGGTAACGTCCACTGTCTGGAACAAAAGACCCAAATTCTGACTCTTTCTCTTTCCTGAAGGCTGCGGCTGCCCAAGTCCTTGTGGGTTTCGTAGTAGCGCCCATGGCCAACAACAACGCTCCCTCCCTTTGCAAAACGTACTTCTTCGCGATCTCGGTGCATGCATCGTTGAGGTCCTTTTCCAGGCTATGCCAATCCGAGTCGATCAACGCGTAAAATCCCCGGAGTTTGTCAATGTCCCGGGAGGCATCCCTAAAGTTGGTAAGCATTATAGCTTGGATAGGATGTAGCAGTGGAGGCCCGGGTCGTATCGCATGGATCATCTTGGCTACGCACTCCCACAATCTGATCTCCTTCTTCTC